ATGTTTCTAACTCTCTATCTCTCTCTCTTCCTCTCTGTAAAAAAAATCAATAAAATATATTTAAAATAAAATAATAATGGCTGTGCTAAACAGCCAGCTTGTAAAATTCTTGAAATGTTAATAGTCGGCTCTAGAAGGCTGATCTAGAACCTTTCTGCTGGATTTTAGGCATGCCCTGTGCTGTTTCTACCAGCAACTTAGGCATTTTCATTTTGCATGGGCCCCATAAATTATGTAGCTGGTCCTGCTGCTAAGGGTATGGTGGAATCTCCACCACAGAAATAGGGTGATTTTTGGGACCGTTATCTCCCAGGATCTCCCAGGCCTTGCTGCCTTTCACTGAGGAAGCCCGCCAAGCCTCTCTAGAGGAGCCAGCAAGACATCCCAGGGGCCACTCCTGTAAGTCCTGCCTGGCACTGGCAGCCGGCTTCATCTGAATGAGTCTACAGCACCATCTGGTGGCAACTGGGTGTCAGGGCTTCCTGGGAGTCAAAGCCAGGAGGATCCTGGAATGCCAGTATCCTCAGCCAAGAGGGGCCCAGTAGTACAGGAGTGGGGATGTGGGTGGAAGGATGATCTGAAGGTCAGGGATGGGGCAAATTCATGCATTCATACTTTGCCTAAGAGCTATGAGAGAGCCGGGACCGGTTTGGCTCAATGGATAGAGCGTCGGCTTGGGGATTGAAGGGTCCCGGGTTCGATTCCGGTCAAGGGTATGTACCTTGGTTGCGGGCACATCCCCAGTAGGGGGTGTGCAAGAGGCAGCTGATCGATGACTCTCTCTCATCAATGTTTCTGACTCTCTATCTCTCTCCCTTCCTCTCTGTACAAAATCAATAAAATATATTTTAAAAAAAAAAGAGCTATGAGAGAGCTTAGAGGTCCAGAGGGCATTGAAACAAACAATTTTAGAGAGAAAAAGTGACCAACGCGCACATCCAGGATGAAAATTTACATCTACTGACTCCCAGTCCAGTCTTCTTTGAACGTATCTTTTATTTATTTTTATTTTTTACTTTAAAATTTTTTTCTAAATTGTCTTAGGTTTCTTTTCTTTCTTTTTATAATACATTTAGTTTTTTTAAACTGTATTTTTTATTGATTTCAGAGAAGAAGAGGGAGATAGAAACATCCTTGAGTGTCAGTCTATGGACTGAAAGGTCCCGGGTTCGATTCCGGTCAAGGGCATGTACATTGGTTGCGGGCACATCCCCAGTGGGGGGTGTGCGGGAGGCATGTTTCTCTCTCATCAACGTTTCTAGCTATCTATCCCTCTCCCTTTCTCTCTATGGAAAATCAATAAAATATATTTTTTTTTAAAAGAAAGAAAGATCCATGGGAATCATTGATTGGGGGATCAAGCCCGAAACCTGGGCATGTGCCCTGGATCAGAATTGAACCCAGAATCCTTTAGTCCACAGGCTGATCCTCTATCCACTGAGCCAAACCAACAAGGGCTCAATATATATATTTTAATTCAAAAGGTGCTTATTAACGCTCTACCAGTGCTTAGCACTGTGTTAGGCTCTGGTAAGGGGCTAAAACAATAATTACTTCATTGAGGACTTCGTCATATGTGTTGGGTGTTTTAGTTATTTTACTCAGTTCTCTTAACAACCAGGAGTCCTGCTTCCGTTTTAATAATAAAGACACTGAAAACAGGGAAAGTTACCTTGCCCAAGGTCACATTGCTGATAAGTGGCTAAACTGGGATTTGAATTCAGATTTGCTTGACGTCAATGAAGGGATCCAAGGGTCAAAGGATGGGACGACCAAAGAGATCCAAGCAGAGGGTCTCACTCAGTCCACATACACTGAGGCCCTCCTGGGCACGCACTATGCGAGGCCAGGGAGTGGAGAATGCGTAAGGTAAACATAGCAAACAATAGCATATAGCCCTTGCTTGTCTGCAGCTCATCATCAGATTGGGGAGACAGGACATGAGCTGAAGTTAAGACTTATTAGATAGGCAGAAACTTGCTTTTATTAGACAGCATTGAGTTCAAATCAGAGTCCTGTCATTTCCTAGCTGTGTGATCTAAGCAGAGAAACGAAGGGAGTCAACAGTTTACCATCAGATCAACCATGTAGGGCCATCAAGGCGTTTGTGAGAACTTACTGGCTTTTCCACTGAGTGAAACAAGAAGGCATTAGAGAATTTTGAGCAGAGGAGAAGGTTGTGATCTTACATATATTTTTTTGGTAAAATATACATAATACAAACTATTTCCAAGTGTACAGTTCAGTGGCATCCACATTGTTATGCAACCATCACCACCATCTCCCCTCCCCCGTCTCCAGAATTTTTCATTTACCAAAGTTACCCTCTGCACCCATTTCCTCAACCCCCGAGCCCCTTTTACTTTCTGTTTCTGGGAATTTGACCCTTTTACTTTCTGTCTCTGGGAATTTGACTACTCTAGGTGCCGCATAGAAATGGATCCATACAATATTTGTCCTTTTGGGACTGGCTGATTTGGGACTGCATAATGTCTTCAAGGCTCATCCATGATGTAACATGGGTAAGAATCTCCTTTTTAAGACTCAATAATATTCCATTGTATTATATACCACATTTTGTTTATCCATTCACTGTCAGAGACACAAGGGTAGCTTCCACCCCTGGAAGATCACTGCATTATGTGAATAATGCAGCTATGAACATGAGTGTACAAATATCTGTTGGAGTTCCTGCTTTCAATGTTTTTTTTAGTATATACCTGTAAGTAGAATTGCTAGATCACAAAGTAATTTTTTTTTTAGAACCATCACCATACTGTTTTCCACAGAAGCCGCACCATCTTAGGTTGTTTAAAAGATTACTTTCAGCCAAAACCGGTTTGGCTCAGTGGTAGAGCGTCGGTCTGGGGACTGAAGGGTCCCGGGTTCGATTCTGGTCAAGGGCATGTACCTTTGTTGCGGGCCTATCCCCAGTGGGGGGTGTGCAGGGGGCAGCTGGTTGATGACTCTCTCATCGATGTTTCTAACTCTGTCTCTCTCCCTTCCTCTCTGTGGAAGGTCAATAAAATATATTTTTAAAAAAATGCCTGCTCAAAAGCAGCACTGAATGATTGAACGCTAATATCATATCACATTTAAAAAATAAAAATAAAAAAATAAAATCATGAGGCTTGATAAGATCATCCGAGGAATGATGATAGACATCAAAAAGGAGAGGGTCAAGGACGGAGAACTGGAACATCCAGCAATAGAGGTTGATAAGAAAACAGCAAAGAACCCAGAGAAGGAGATGCCCGTGAGATAGGAGGAAAGTCAGGAGGGCGTGGTGTCCTGGAAGCCCCGTGAAGAAAATATTTGAAGAAGGAAAGGGATCAACTGTGTTAGATAAGATGATAATTGTTGCCTAAACGGTTTGGCTCAGTGGATAGAGCCTCAGCCTGCAGACTGAAAGGTCCCAGGTTCGATTCCTGTCAAGGGCATGTACTTTGGTTGTGGGCACATCCCCAGTAGGAGGTGTGTAGGAGGCAGCTGATCAATGTTTCTCTCTCATTAATGTTTCTCTCTATACCTTTCCCTTCGTCTCTGTAAAAAAATCAATTAAAAAAAGATGATTATTCAAGTAAAATGAGAATTGACAATTGGCAATTGGCCATTGTTCTTAGCAATCTAACAAAAGTTATTTCAAAGGACTGTGGAGCCAGGACCGGTTTGGCTCAGTGGATAGAGCGTCGGCCTGGGGACTGAAAGGTCCTGGGTTCGATTCCGGTCAAGGGCATGTACCTTGGTTCCGGACGCATCCCCAGTAGGGGGTGTGTAAGAGGCAGCTGATCGATGATTCTCTCCCATCGATGTTTCTAACTCTCTATCCCTCTCTCTTCCTCTCTGTGAAAAATCAATAAAATATATTTAAAAAAAAAAAAAAAAAAAAAAAAAAAAAGGACTGTGGAGAGGTGACTCAAGAGAGAAGGGGTGGGGAGGGGAATTGGAGGCGGTGAGGATAGCCAAGTCTTGCAGAAGTTTTGCTGTTAAGGGAAGTAGGGAAATGCTGGAGGGTCAGGAGAGGGTTGGTTTTTGTTTGTTTGTTTGCTTGCTTTTAAGATGGGAGAACAGCATGTTTGATGACAGGAATAATCCCACGAGGGAAAAGGGAATGGGAGTGGCGGGAACTGTAAAGCTATGCCCTGAAACAGACCAGAGGGATGGGATCTAATGCAAAGTATGTGGTCCCCTCCCCATTCTCTTTCTCTCTCTCTCTCTCTCTCTCTCTCTCTCTCTCTCTCTCTCTCTCTCTCTCTCTCTCCCTCTCTCTCCTCCCTCCCTCGACCTCAACACCTTCAACTTCCCTTCTCCACGCTGTCTGCATTTTCCTAACCACATCCACCTGGAGTTGTTTTGAGTCAGGCCGTCAAGACTAAGTTAATTGTGTCTCCCGATATCTTGAGAGCCCCTCTAGAGTAGAGGTGCATGTAAGTCACCTCTGACTTTTTCTCCACGAACCCCCAATCCGTGGCCCAGCGCCCCCCATTCTGCGCTCGCTGAACCCGCCCGAAGGGACCCCAAACAGCTACTACGCGGCTGGTTTCATAAAGGGGGGCGGTCCTAGCCCTGCGCTCTGGGATCCAAACGTTCGGGCTCCCGCCGGAATGGCTCCCGCGGGGATCGCTCCCCTCCTCCCCTCTACTCCCAGCTTCCCAAGACCACTCTGAGGGCCCCTGAGGCCCCATGCGGCCACCGTAGGGGACGATGGCCGATTCCCGTCAGGATTCGAGGTTGGTGGGGGCGGGGCCAACGCTTGGGGCCTTAAGACAAAACTGAGGATTGGACCAAGCACTCGGGGGCGTGGCTTAAGGGAGAACTCTGGCTAGAGAATGGACCAGGACTGAGGAGGCGGGGCCTAATTGTAAATCAGGGCGGAGATTGGACTGAGGGGGGGCTATCCGCGCGAGGATTGGGCCGAGTGCTCCGGGGCGGTGCTTAAGGGGGCGGTACCGTGTCGGAAGTCAAAGGTCAGTAAATAGTGGTGATGTCATGCGGGGAAGATGGCGGAAGGGTGAGCCCGTCATCCTGCTCTCGGGCGTTGGGGCCTGAGTTCTCCCAGGGTCGGGGTGCTGGGCCAGGGTCCCCGTGGAGAACAGGGGGCCGGCTTGGCGGCGGACGCCGCTGGGGAGGCGGGGCGGAGTCGCAGTGGGAGGGGGTGGGGGAGGCGGTCTGCGAAGCCTCAGCCCGTGGGGTCACATCCGAGGGGAAACTGAGGCCGGGTCGTTGGACCCGCGGGGCTGCCAGATGTGTCTCTTCCACAGGGAGGACGTGGGGTGGTGGCGGAGCTGGCTGCAGCAGAGCTACCAGGCAGTCAAGGAAAAGGTAAGCCGGCCCGGCTCCCTTCCTCCCCCGGGGCCCCGCACCGCTTCGCTGCAACTTGGCGCGGCCCCGCCCGGCCTGTGTGGGTGCCGGGTCCTCGGGGAGGAGAACGACTCTCTCCCTACTTTTAGCCCCTTTCGGGGCTACAGAAAGACCGATGCCGACTTAGGCCCGTGGGACACTAGCCACAGCGAAATCAAGACTTTTAAAGGCTGCAGCGACCCTCTCGTGGGAATCCATAGGAAGGAGATTTACAACTTCCTCGAAGAGAAAAGATGTCATGTAGGTCTTAAAGATAAAGGGTTCTAGCAATAAAAACTTAGTCCTATAGTCCTTTAAAATATTAGCGTATGTGCCACAGCCAGCACTCCCTAAGAGATCCTGAGGAGATCGATATTGGCCAAACAGATGCAGCCCCCAACCCCACAAAGCTCACAGTCTAGTGGGATGAGCGAGACTTGGCTCTCCCCATGGGAAATGCCATTGGGTGCTTCTGTTTCATGCCATTGCTAGCCTGTCAAAGCCAGCCCGAATGCATTGTGAAAATAGCTAACTACTATTTACCTCAAGCTACCGGGATGACTCCTGCTTCAGAGCAGACTCCCCGAGGCTCTGCCCTCAGTTAAATAGGTCCTTTACTCTGGGAGCATTTTTATCTTCCCGTGGCCTATGTACTCCTCTCAGCTCCGGTCCAGCAAAGCTGAGGATGCCCTGAGCTGTTTGTGTTTTGATGGGGACCAAGAAGGAGAATTTCACACTGAGGTTTAATAGACGAGACCTCCAAGTAGCTCGGTTTCTGTTGCTCATTCTACTGACATTCATTTAGCAAATACATTTGAAGGCTGCCTGTGTGTTTCCCTCAAGGTTGGTCTACCATACTCATGAAAAATAGGTAAATTAGCTTTCCATCTTTGTTCTTGGAGAACTCTCATTTGAAAACTGTGTGTGTGTGTGTGTGTGTGTGTGTGTGTATACTTAACAGTTATATGAACCTGGGCAAGTTACTTAACCTCTTTAGGCCTCAGCTCCTCATCTTTACTTTTTTTTTTTTAAAAAAATGTATGTTTTACTGATTTTAGAGAGAGAGAAAGGAAGAGGGGTAGAGATAGAAGCATTAATGAGAGATAGGCTGCCCCCTATTGGGAGATTGAGCCCACAACCTGGGCATGTGCCCTGACTGGGAATCAAACCAATAACCTCTTGGTTCTTGGATCAATGCTCTAACCACTGAGGCCCATGGGTCCGTTTTTTCTTAGTCTTTCTATGCTTTCCTGGCCTTCCTTCCTTTCTATCCTGGCTCCATTTGGACCACTCAATTCCCAGCACCCTCACTTCTCTTATACCCCATAGCATAAATTGCCCCAAGACTGTTGCTCTGAGATGGTACTATTATCTGCCTTCCTCTGCTCCTTACTCCCTGTAGTGTGTGGTGTGTGTGTATGAACTTTCCCACAGACACTGGTCGAGAACGTCACATTGCTCTTTGGCCCTGCCACAGATTCCCAAACACCTGGGCCTGAATATCCCCCACAACTTTTTCAATCTCTAATTTGCTTCTTCTCCCCTTGCCTTGAGGAACTTTCCTCAAACTTAACACCTCCCTCAAGTTCCCTGTTCAGTCACTTCCTCTTTTGCTTCCAGGAGACAACGTTAGCTCTTACTTTAAAATAGATAGGTAGGTAGGTAGATTTTATTGATTTCATAGAGGAAAGGAGAGGGAGAGAGAATAGAAACATCAATGATGGAGAAGCATTGATCGGCTGCCTCCTTCATGCCCCACACGGGGATCAAGCCTACAACCCAGGCATGTGCTCCCGACCAGAATGGAACCTGTAACCCTTTAGCCTGTAGGCCGACTCTATCCACTGAGCCAAACCAGCTAGAGCAGCTCCTACTTTTTAAAATTTGAGGTCAACAGCATGATCTCTCTAACTCCCTCTGCACCCCTGAAGCCAACACATATGGGCTTATCTATGATACCCACTCAGCTTTACTTCATTTGCCAAATCCAGTGGGTGTTTTCAGCCCTTATCTTCCTGCACCTTCCTGCTGCATTTGACACTAGTGATCACTCTTGAAACTCGACTCCCTTGGCTTCTGTGACATGATTCTTTCTCAGTTCTCCACATGCTCCCACCCCCCCTTTCCTTTCCTGTTTTCAGGAGTTCCTCTTCCTCTGCCTGCCTCTTAAAGGTGTGGTATGTGAGGGGCCTTGTCCTCAGCCCACTGCTCTGTTTATAAACTCTTCCTGGGGGACTTCCATTTTCATGTTAGGGTGACTCAGTCCTTTTCTCTGAGCTTTAGTGTTTGAGAAACTCCTTCTGGACAGCTGTTCCAGATATTTCAGTCACTGCTGATTCTACATGACAGCGTCACTGTCACCATCTCTCAACCTGCTCCCCCTTTCGCACTTTCTCTCTGTTTGCAGCACTACACCTACCCTGGTCATCTAGGTTAGCAGCCAGTAGCTCTTCTTGATTCTATCTTGTTCTCAGTCAGCGTGTGTGTGTGTGTGTGTGTGTGTGTGTGTGTGTGTGTGTGTGTGTGTAATCACAAAATCCACCTTTTTTGCCTGGTATTTCTTTTTTCTTTTTTTTAATGTTTTTATTGATTTGAGAGAGAGAGAGAGAGGAAAAAAAACATCAATCAGCTGCCTCCTGTACACCCCTACTAGGTATTGAGCCTGCAACCCGGACATGTACCCTGACCTGGAATCAAACTGGTGACCTCTTAGTAAATGGAACAGTGATCAACCAACTGAACCACACCAGTGAGGGATGCCTGATATTTCTTGAATCAGTTCCATCCTTACTGGCACTGTTCTTATTCATACTTTGTTTCTGTTTTCTTTCCTGGACTATTGCAACAGCCTTCTAACTGGTCTTTGCTCTTCTAATCTTGTCACCTGAAATTACCTATTAAAAAAACGCAAATCTTGTCCCAGCCACTGTGGGCTCAGTGGTTAGAACATCATCCCATACACTAAAAGGTTGCGGGTTCAATTCCCAGTCAGAGGGATGCACCTGGATTGCAGGTTCGATCCCTGGCCCAGGTTGGAGGCATGCAGGAGGCAACTCTCTCCCCATCCCACTTTCCTTTCCACTCTCTCTAAAATAAATCCATGGAAAAAATATCCTCGGGTGAGGATTTATTTATTTATTTATTTTTTAAGTAAATCTCATCATGTCCTACCTCTTTCAAACCTTCGTGGCTCTCCGTCACCCACCAGGCTGACTGGATGCTCCATGGTTGCCCTCGGCAACATCTCCGGCTTTATTCCTCACCACTTCTGCTTTACCTTTTATGTTCATTAGGACTAAAATACCATAAGCCTCAGTAAGCCCCATACCCCAACATGTCCAGGCTTTCTTAGGTGACTCCTGCTCAAAATCCATGTCACATCTTAAAGCATAGCAAAGCAGTGTAACAAAGTCTGTTTTGCTTCAGACTCTATGTGTCCCCTAACCCCACTCTGCTCCCGAGGACACTGACCCCGTCCCCCTCCGTTTCGTAGGAGACAGCTGAGGACTAGATGAGAGTTACTCTGGCTACACACAGCTTGTAGGTGTCTGGACTGACACTCAGTTCTCAGAGCGGCAGGAAGTTCTTTGCTCTCTGTTGTCAGTTATCAAGTCGTGGAACTGGGACAAGTGAGCATCACTTTTGAGGATAGGCTTCCTATGCCACTTGAGTTTTCTGAGTGTCTGTCTGGTACTGAAGAAGCACAGGGAGCAGGAGCAAAGGGTGGTGGATGTCATCCCAGCCGGCTCTGTCATCCCTCTCTGTCTTCCACAGTCCTCCGAAGCCTTGGAGTTCATGAAGCGGGACCTGACAGAGTTCACCCAGGTGGTGCAGCATGACACGGCCTGCACCATTGCCGCCACGGCCAGCGTGGTCAAGGAGAAGCTGGCTGTGAGTACAACCTGTGTCCTCAGAGTCACTGTCCCTCACACCTGACCTATTTTTATTTTTTTAATATATTTTATTGATTTTCTTACAGAGAGGAAGGGAGAGAGATAGAGAGCTAGAAACATCGACCAGCTGCCTCTTGCACACCCCCTACCGGGGATGTGCCCACAACCAATGTATATGCCCTTGACCAGAATCGAACCTGGGGCTTTTCAGTCTGCAGACCGATGCTCTACCTCTGAGCCAAACCGGTTTTGGCGCACCTGATCTATTTTGAAACGATGGTGGAGGCTCCCAACTTTTCTCCCATTTTTCTTTTATGTAATTGCTTTTCCCCATGAGCTCTTGTTTAGAAAGAATGTGTCTGCCAAGCAAACAAGCTACATCTCTGTATTAAGTATTAATAAGCTTTCCCACTTCTTACTGTCTTAGCAGATGTTATCCTATTACCAATGCAATTCATTGTAGATAATTTAGAAAATACAAATAAGTAAAAGAAAAATAGAGGCCTAGAGACATCCAAAATTCCATCTCCCAGCGATAACTACTGTTACTATGTGGGAATATATCCCTTAGGTACCCTTTTATTTTCATAATTATCTTTTTTTTTTTTTTTTTTTTTTTTTTTTAATTCAGAGAGAGAAAGGGCGGGAATGTGGGGGGCGGGGGTGGTTAGGGAAAAACATCTATCAGTTGCCTCCTAACCTTACCCCAACTGGGGATTGATTTTGCAACCTGGATATGTGTCCTGACTAGGAATCGAACCCGCCACCTTTCAGTGCACAGGATGACACTCCAACAAACTGAGCTTCACTAGCCAGGGCTGTAACCTACTTTTTTACTTAATCATTACAGATTTCATTCTGCAGCTTCACAAATGGCATGGCATTCTATTATGTGACTTTAACCAGTTCCTAGTTTCCTATTTCATTTTTCCTCAGTATTGTATACAGGTACAGTGAACATTCTGATTGCTAAATCTTTGCCTTTCACATTTTATTTCTAATAAAATATTGGAAGGAATCCTAGGGGGAGTATAGTTTTAGGCCTTTTAATATATATTACAAAACTACCCTCCAGAAAGGTGTGCCAACTTATATTTTTACTGGCCCTGTTTTTATTAATCTTCTGAGGTAGGAGTTTGATTCTGAAGTCTGTGGGAGAGAAAATTGTATACAGTTAAATGTATCCAGTTTCTGATGAAGTGGAATATACTGGTTTTTTACAGTTTTCCCTTTAGTGATGGGACAGATTGCAATTTTTTCATTTGCTCACCAGCTGAATCAATTGCCTTGTGACTAGAGGCCATGTTATGAAAAACATGTTTTGTTTAGTTGAAAGTTGTAAAACGCTGTCTGCCTGCTAACCACAGCTACAGATGAGCATGGAAGACAAGTGGTAGTCCTGCTGAACTGCGATAAGTCCAGCCAGGGGCAGAGACAGCACTTGTTTCTTTCATTTATTTGTTCTTTTTTTATACCCGTGCTAACATGTTCTAGCGCTGAGATAGGTTCTAGTTTAAAATTCGAGGGCAAAAAAATAGAATGCCTGGGCAGCCTAGTTAGGAATAAATATTACAGTTTTCCATGAGGTCTGTAGAGCCTGACCCTGTCTCTCAGCATCTCATCCCTGCCTGCTCGAGGACATGCTGACCAGTGAGGCTCAAGCTTGTTGTCCATTCATTGGCCCTCAGTCCTAGGCTTGCCTGTAGGCAAGACAATGTTCTTACCCAGCCCATATTTCCTCAGACTTCATAGAAAATACTCCACTTCCTGGACAGTCGTGATGATGAAATTGTGATATTACAATATTTACAATATTGTTACTTATTAAATGTTTGCTATATGCCAGGCATTGTGCATGCCTTATCTCTCTTTTTGTACTGAAACTCATAACTTATCTTTTTTTTTTTTTTAATATATTTTATTGATTTTTGTACAGAGAAGAAGGGAGAGAGATAGCTAGAAACATCGATGAGAGAGAATCATCCATCAGCTGCCTCTTGCACACCCCCTACTGGGGATATGCCCGCAACCAAGGTACATGCCCTTGACCGGAATCGAACCCGGGTCCCTTCAGTCCCCAAGCTGACGCTCTCTCCATTGAGCCAAACCAGTTTCGGCATAACTTATCTTTTTAATCTGCATGGTAGCCCTCTGAAAGAAATATATTTATCTGAATTTTACAGGGAAGGAAACATAGACTCAAGGAGGATTTAGGTCTCATATCGGCAAGTAGTAGAGCTAGGATTCAAATTAAAGTTTGATTCCACAGCTAGTACCTTTCTCATCACATTGGCCTTCCCCACTGAATGTCTGTGGCATGGCTCCTCACCTGTCAATTTTTGCTCAGTCTGGCTGACCCTGGAATTTTGATGAAACAGCCAATCAGAGGAGCTCTGCTCTGACCTACAGAGGCCTACTGCAGCCCTATTCTGCACCCCATCTGGGGGATGGGAACCCTGGCTGCCTCTCTCTCCTTCTCCAGCCCCAGAGATGGGGTGAGAAGTTGTGAGCGAAGCGTTTCCCTGGTCCTCACCTACACAGTAAATTTTTGCCCTTGATACTCACCACCGCTCTCTGCCCCAAACCCCAGACTGCAGCCTACTCCTGGGCCACTTGCTTCCTCTGCTGGCTTATCTTTTCAGACTGAAGGCTCCTCGGGGGCGACGGAGAAAATGAAGAAGGGTTTGTCTGACTTCCTAGGAGTGATCTCCGACACCTTTGCTCCCTCAGCAGACAAAACCATCGACTGCGATGTCATCACCCTGATGGGCACGCCCTCTGGCACAGCTGAGCTCTATGATGGCACCAAGGTATTCACTGGTGGCTTTCCCTGCAGCTAACAGCACTGAGCTCTAGCTTCCCACATGTACTCACAAAAGCAATATGTGTCCTGGCTAGAAAGCAAATGTATGTATATTACTGAATTGGAGAATACCAATAAGCAAGGAGATAATTATTTCTAAGTTCAAAATCCCATCAGTGAAAAATAACCACTGATTTCTTACTGATGTATAGCCCTTCCTTTCTTCCTCCCTCCTTCCCTTCTTTCCTTCCTGTCATTCTTTTAAAGAATAAGGAGCTGCACAGAGTGTAGAGGGGAGTATTGGTATATTGGGATAATGCTCTAACAAACTGAGCTACCCAGCCAAGGTTAGCCTGTCTTTTTTTGTTTTGTTTGTTTGCAAACATAGGTAAAGATAGTTTAGGGTGTTTTTGTTTTGTTTTTAAACCAAAAAGGCACTTTATACATACAATTTTGTTACCTGCTTTTGAAAAATTTATAATAAATTTAGCACTTTTCCTAATCACCATTATTTTTAATGTCTTTAAAATGAATATGGCATAATTTTTCTTAAATATATTTTTATTGATTTCAGAGAGGAAGGGAAAGAGATAGAAACATCACTGATGAGAGAGAATTATTGATTGGCTGCCTCCTGCATGCCCCCTACTGGGAATTGAGTTCACAACCCCTGCCTGTGCCCTTGACTGGAATTGAACCCGGCACTCTTCAGTCAACAGACTGAAGCTTTATCCACTGAGCCAAGCTCTATCCACTGAGCCAAACCGGCTAGAGCTAGCATAATTTATTTCGTCACTTCCCTGCGTTGCACATTTGGATTCCTTTCAGATTTCAGCCATAATGAGGAATGCTGTAGGGAACATCTCGACAGACATGATCTGCTCTATATTTGGGCTATTTAAAACTAACTTCCAATAGGAATGCATGTATGGGAGGAGGATGTCTGTATTTCTATCACATTTTATTTTCTCTCGTTACTTCTTGGATGTCATGGAGTGTTTTTTCCTAAATTGCATGGTGTCATAGCAGTTTAGCCTCCTTCATAGCATTTTGCCACATTGAATTTTCATTCCAAATGTACTGAATTCCAAGAATTGGCACCACCACTTAGTGAAATTTGAGTGGAATCGTGAACATTTTAAAATTACAGGTTTTTAAATTATAACCGTGAATCACCAAAACCACTTGCTGCAGTTCTAATGCAGCCAGCCAGCCCAGGCTTCATGTAATACTGAGGAAGGAAGACAGGGCTTTCTGTTCACAGATAAAGTTTGCCACTTCCATGGCCCTAATTGGAACTCAGCCTACTGTTCACTTGGCAGATGGCCATGAAATTAAGAGATTCTTGATGAATGATTTTAACTTGGTGAAGTTTTATTATTTCAAAACTTGTCCATAAATTTGGACCTTATTAATATTTTTGCATTAGTTTTTCAAGCTTCACATAATTCAAAAGTATTTTATACATATAATTTTGTAGCCTATTTACCCTTTATTTTCTTTTTTCTTTTTTTTTTAAAGAAATTTTTTTTTTAATTTTAATATATTTTATTGATATTTTACAGAAAGGAAGAGAGAGGGATAGAGAGTTAGAAACATCGATGAGAGAGAATCATCGATCAGCTGCCTCTTGCACACCCCCTACTGGGGATGTGCCCACAACCAAGGTACATGCCCTTGACCGGAATCGAACCCGGGACCTTTCAATCTGCAGGCCGACGCTCTATCCACTGAGCCAAACCGGTCTCGGCAGCCCTTTATTTTCTTAGTGTAATATTTGGTGAGAGATCATTTTTCTCAGAGCCTACTTTTGAACTCCTAGCCCAGCACTCCCCTCCCTAGCCTTTTTTTTTTTTAATTTATTTTTTATTTTTTTATTTTTTTAAATATATTTTATTGATTTTTATAGAGAGGAGGGGAGAGGGATAGAGAGTTAGAAACATCAATGAGAGAGAAACATCGATCGGCTGCCTGTTGTAGTTTTTTTCTTTATTGCTCTAGTCAACAAAAGGGAAACTTTAGTGAGGCAGCAGGGCCATGGAGTTCAGGCAGAAGGCAGTGAGCCCTGTGGGCTCAAAGAGGTGGTGGAGAGGCCGTATTTATTAACCTTCTTCTGGGAACAAGAAGAGGAGTTGGGGAGTTGACAGCTTGAGGGTACAGGCAGGTGTAATACCTGTGACATCTTGTCTCAGTTGTACTTCTGGGAGAGCTGGAGGAGGAAGGGCTCGATGATGCCACCCTGTGGATGAAGCACCAAGTGCAGGGTGGACTCTTTCTGAATGTTGTAGTCTGAAAGAGTGCAGCCGTCCTCCAGTTGTTTGCCCACAAAAATCAGGCGCTGTTGGGCAGGTGGGATGCCCTCCTCATCTTGGATTTAGGCTTTGATATTCTCAATGGGCTCAATCTCGAGGGAGATGGTCTTGCCAGTCAGAGTCTTCACAGAGATCTACGTCTCTGCATCTGCTGGGGAGGCGGCTCATTGAAGAATCTTCTCTGTTTCTTACAGGCTCGTCTCTATAGCCTGCAGTCAGATCCGGCAACCTACTGCAATGAACCAGATGGTGAGGGGGTAGCGGGGGGAGGGGGTGGGCTTGCAGGGCAGGGAGGCCAAGGGCTAAGCATCCCCTGTGTAGAGGGACCAGAGTGGAGTGAGTATGTACCTTAGATCTGGTGGGATGGGTGATGGTCCCTCTTCCTCCCTGAACCCAGGCTATCTTCATCCCTGTCTGCAAAGACTTCGACCCTTTCCCTCATCCTCAGCTCAGGCTCCCTCCCAGCCCAGTTGCCTGCCTGTTTGCTAAACCCCTGTGGTACAGCAAGCCCCAGGCTGGGAACTGGAGATCAGAAACAAGTCAAACCCTCAACCTGGCCTAGACATTCAGGAACTTGCTATTAGGAGAGGGAAACAAGAAACAGTGACTAAAGCAAAGGTAGTAGATTTGGAATGACTGCCTCTATAAAATGATGGGTGTGGTGGGAACCCAGAGGGATGGCACCCAACCTAGCCTGGGAACCTAGGATGCGACACTTGAATTGATGTTTTAAGGATGAAGTAGCAGCAAATTAATTTTATCTTTAAAGAGGGGGTGGGAGGGAGGTGGTGCTTAAGCAGAAGGTCCAAAAGAACAGGGAGCGCTGGCATTTGGGAAGTTGAAGTAAAGGGAGCATGTGAGGGAATGAGAGCAGTGAGAGATGCGGTGGAAGCCACATTGGAATGCTTTGGGTGTCAGACTAAGCAGTTTGAATTTTGTCCTAAAATGTTCAAGGTAGTACTTCTTAACATTTTTTTTTAATATATTTTATTGATTTTTAACAGAGAGAAAGGGAGAGAGATAGAGAGTTAGAAACGTCGATAAGAGGGAAACATCGACCAGCCGCCTCTTGCACACCCCCTACCAGGGATGTGCCCGCAACCAAGGTACATGCCCTTGACCGGAATCGAACCTGGGACCTTTCAGTCCGCAGACTGACGCTCTACCACTGAGCAAAACTGGCTTTGGCAACATTTTTTTTTTTTTTTTTTAACTCAAAAAGGCCTTTAAAAATCTGTTGAAAATTACAGGCCCTCTCTTAGCAAAATTTTATATGCAAAAATGAGAATTCTTGGACTGTTTGAAGTCCATCTTTGGACCATAGCTTTTAAAGCCTCCTATAGAGAACTGGTGAAGGGTTTTGAGGCCTGAGGTAGTCAGATTTTACAATATATAAAAGAATTCTGGGCAGTGTTGTGAAGGATGAAATGGAGGAAGAGAGGGAAGACAGGAAGATACGTTAGGAGGCTTGCTAGCAGTCGTCACCTCAGAGATAGGGTCAGAACCTAGGAGGTGGCAGGAGGAATGAAGAGGAAAGTGTGCATGTCTAGAAGGGTCCTCGGGTTTCCATTGGATTCCTGGGTGGGTCAGGTTGGGCAGGAAAGAAAAGGAGTTGGGTTTGCAGCACCCGTGCAAGTGGACGTGTCCAGGGGATACTTGGACCCCTGGATCTGGAGGATGTTCAAGAGGGAAGCAATGGCTACCAGAGTCAAAAACTGGATTGGTCACATGAGGGAGGACAGAGAAGTAGCCATTGGATCTGGAAACATGAGTCACTGGTAACCTGAGAACAGCTCTTTGAGAGAGGAGATCCAGTGGCCAAGTGCAGAGGGCTGACAGTGAGTAGGCATGGGAGAGAGGGAGTCTGCAGCCCTCCTGGAGGTCATGAAGGTGCTGCGCCTGATTTCACCCACCCCTTCACCCTCCCTTGCTCCCCACCATGGGCCAAATGGCTTTGAAAAAGACCTTGTCCATGACCAGGCTTAGGTGTGTGTTCTGTAGGCCCAGTGTTCTCTCCTCAGACCAGGGAACTGACCCTCAGTGTCTGTCCCTCTACAGGGCCCCCGGAATTGTTTGACGCCTGGCTTTCCCAGTTCTGCTTGGAGGAGAAGAAGGGGGAGATCTCAGAGCTCCTTGTAGGCAGCCCCTCCATCCGGGCCCTCTACACCAAGATGGTGAGGGCCCAGCTGGCAGGACCTCAGCCAGCTCCCAGCTTGAGGTGGCGGGAGGTGGGAGAGACATTTCAGAGTCATCTGGCTTAGAGAGCGGTGAGAGACCCTACAGAGCCAAACCAGCCAGTTCCTGAGCCAAGGATTTTCACAGGGGAAATGATATGCCAGGTTTCTGGCCATCATGGTGAGAAATGGAAGGACTGGCAAAGCCTGGTGGGATTTCTGTTCTCCTGGGCCAACTTAGGCCAGGAAGATAGCACGAGTGGGGTGTGGGTTGGAAATACTCTGGTAATCATTGCTCAGCCTCTTACTGTATTTGAAATCCAGAGTGGCTAGGAGCTGGCTGATAGGGCTGGGATGCAGACCCCACACAACCACTCCAGATGTTTCATCTTTGCTGTCCCCTCCCTCCAGGTGCCCGCAGCTGTTTCCCATTCAGAATTCTGGCATCGGTATTTCTATAAAGTTCATCAACTGGAGCAGGTATGCTGGCCTAGCCTGGCTAGGTACTCCACTCAGCCATGGGGGAAGTGAGCTGGATTTTGTTGAGGGAAGGAGGGCACACAGGATGCCAAGAGTTCTGGGGTCAGGACCAGACAGGAAGAGGGTGCTGTGACTGTTCCTCGCTCCCCCACATTCAGGAGCAGGCCCGGAGGGATGCCCTGAAGCAGCGGGCAGAACAAAGCATCTCTGAGGAGCCTCGGTGGGAAGAGGAAGAAGGTAAGACATTGGGCAGGTAACAGGTGCTGCCTGTGGGGGACTGTCTATCCATTCTCTCTGGATCCTGGAGAGACGCGGCACCCCGGGGTAAAGTAATGAGTGTGTGCATGCTAAGGACAGGCTGAGCTGATGAGATGTTTCCCAAGGCTGGTGGGATGCTAGGTTCAGAAAGCACCTAATCTGCCGTGTCCTCTGTTGTAGCAGATTACCCTGCCGGCCGTGGACCAGCTACTGCAGAGTCACATGGGATGCTTATTGAAATCCCAGAGCCCCTTATCCTCTCTTGTAAGATTCTATGGGGTTGCCAGAACCGGTTTGGCTCAGTGGTAGAACTTCGGTCTGTGGACTGAAAGGTCCCAGGTTCGATTCCGGTCAGGGCATGTATGTTGGTTGCGGGCACATCCCCGGTAGGGGGTGTGCAAGAGGCAGCTGGTCGATGTTTCTCTCTCATCGACGTTTCTAGCTCTCTATCCCTCTCCCTTCCTCTCTGTAAAAAATCAATAAAATATATTTTAAAAAAAAGAAAAAGATTCTATGGGGTTGTTGTGGGTTTTTTTGTTACTGTTTTTAAAATTTATTTTGAGAGAGAGAAACATCCCATGTCAGAGAGATACATCAATCAACTGCCTCATGTACATGCCCCAATGAGATTGAACCCGCAACCTGGCTTGTGTCCTGCTGGGCAATCGAACCCATGACTTTTCGGTATACTGGCTGGAATGACACTCCAACCAAATGAGTCACACAGGCCAGGGCCAAACTTGGTTTAACAAGCTCCCTAGTAATGTTAATGCCCAGCCAGACTTGGGAACCACTGGCTTAGGGAGGGAGCTAAGCATCCTCTATGGCAGCTCAGCTTTTGACTGTGTGGGAGTGATATAATATTAACGCATTTATTTATTAAGTGCTTATATTATACTAGAGGCCCAGTGCACGAAATCTGTGCTGAGGGGAGGGATCAGTCTTCCTCCAGCCTGCACCCTCTCCAATCTGGGACCCCTTGGGGGGCCTAAACCAGCAGTCAGACATCCCTCATACAATCCTGGACCGCTGGCTCCTAATCATTCACCTGCCTGCCTGCCTGATTGCCCCTAACTGCACCCTCCCTGCTGGCCTGATCACTCCTAACTGCTCCCCGTTCCAGTCTGGTCACCCCTTACTGCCCCCTCCCCGCCCCCGCCTAATTGCCCCCAACTGCTCTCCATGCTGGCCTGGTCACCTCCAACTGCATCCCCCTGACAGACTGGTCACCCCTCATGGCCCCCCTGCCGGCCTGGTTGCCCCATGCAGCCTGCTGTTCATTTGTTTGGTTGTCCCTCACTAACCCCTCTTCGGGCCTGGTTGTAGACAGTCATCTTGTGAGGGTATGAGGGTTAATTTGCATATTGCCTCTTTATTATATAGGATACCTAACCTGTACTAAGAGCTTTATATATATGGTCATTACCACAACTCCATTATCCTCTTTTATAAATGAGGCAAGTAAATTAAATAAAAGTTAAAAGAAACACCACGAAGTGCTTTGCCTGAGATCATATAGCCTGATCTGAACTCAAAACGGACAGAAAAAGAAAACTTAAAAGTCTTAGTTTTCTAGTCTATAATGCCATCTTGGGCTGAATTTCTAGAAGCCGAGTGCCCACCAGATACGTGCTTGGCCTCAGGGCGAGTGAGACTTTGACAGGGAGTGTCTGCAGAAGGACCTGGCGGGAAAGGGTGAGGACTCTGTCCCCCTCTCGTCTTGATCAGAGCAAACTGTGGAAGAAAACCGAGGCCTGTCTCCAGGGAGCTTCAGGGTTGTCTTGGGGCTAACGGGGCATATTGCCCGCTTTCCCTGCTTTTCTCTCTTGACAGAGGAGATTGTGGGCATCTCACCCACACCTCCCAAAGAGGCAAAGGTTTCTGTGGCCAAAACTTGCACATCCCTTGAAGGAGGACCTGGCCCCCAGAGTCCCTGTGAAGAGAATCCGGTGATCCCAGTCGAGCCTCCAGCAGAAGTCACCCCATCAGAGAGCAGCGAGAGCATCTCCCTCGTGACCCAGATTGCCAAACCTGCCACCCCTGAGGCGCCAGTACTGCCCAAGGACCTGTCCCAAAAGCTTCTAGAGGCATCTTTGGAGGAACAGAACCCGGCTGTGGATGTGGGCGAGACTGGACCCCCACCCCCAGCTCAGTCTAAGCCCCACCCCCCTGCCGGTCGCCCCAGTGGCCCAGAGCCCAGGCCTCCCGCCAGAGTGGAGACTCTCAGGGAGGAGGTGCTCACAGACTTACGGGTGTTTGAGCTGAACTCGGACAGTGGGAAGTCCACGCCTTCCAACAATGGGAAGAAAGGTAAGTCAAGGCCAGAACCGGGGAGCGGGTGGGGCAGGGCAAGTGACAGTTGACACCTCACAAGGCAGACTGATCTCCTTGACCCTTGTGAGGATCCTAGGAGCAGCTGTCCTTCATTTGTGATACTGTTGGTGATGACAGTTACTATATATTATTCATTTGTTTATTTTTTTATTTATTTTTATTTTTTTTTAAAATATATTTTATTGATTTTTTACAGAGAGGAAGAGAAAGGGACAGAGAGTTAGAAACATCGATGAGAGAGAATCATTGATCAGCTGCCTCTTGCACACCCCCTACTGGGGATGTGCCTGCAACCAAAGTACATGCCCTTGACCGAAATCGAACCTGGGACCTTTCAGTCCGCAGGTTGACGCTCTATCCACTGAGCTAAACCGGTTTCGGCTATTTTTTATTTTTAAACATATTTTATTGACTTTTTATAGAGAGGAAGGGAGAGAAAGAAAAACATCAATCAGCTGCCTCCTGCACACCCCCTACTGAGGATGTGCCTGCAACTAAGGTACATGCCCCTGACAGGGATCAAACTGTAGGCCGACACACTATCCAGTGAGCCAACCCAGTGAGGGCTACTAATATATTTTATTGATTTTTCACAGAAAGGAAGAGAGAGGGATAGAGAGTTAGAAACATCGATGAGAGAGAATCATCGATCAGCTGCTTCTTGCACACCCTCCACCGGGGATGTTCCCGCAACCAAGGTACATGCCCTTGCCCGGAATTGAACCCGGGACCTTTCAATCCACAGGCCGACGCTCTATCCACTGAGCCAAACCGGTCCCAGCAAGGGCTACTATATATTATTTATTATCTTAGTCCAATTCTAAAATACACTGATTAAAGTGCATCTTACGATATAAGGTTTATGAGAAGTCCTGTGCTAAGTTTGTAGCATTACTTTTAATTTCTCACATTTTACAAGCCAGTGAGGTCACTGTTACTGTCCTTATTTTACAGATGAAGAAAGTGAGGCTCAGAAATATTAATTAACTTGCTCAAATCACATGGCCACAAGTGGCTAGCCCAGATTCAGACCCAAGTCTGTCTGACTTGAACCCCATACCCTTAACTACCTACCGAATTTTATCCTTTTGGACAATTTAACCTTATCTTGGGGTGGGTATTCTGGTGACACTGATTGATGTCAAGGGTCTTCTCTCCTGGGTCACCTTAGGAAAGTCATTAGCTTCCCTAAGCCTTCATTAATTATTGGTATAAAATATATATAAACAAAACTTATATGTACAGTTTTGAGGGTTTTTTTGTTAATCTCACTCAATATTTTCCATTGAGCCAAGACCGGTTTGGCTCAATGGATAGAGCCTCGGCTTGGGGACTGAAGGGACCCGGGTTCGATTCCGGTCAAGGGCATGTACCTTGGTTGTGGGCATATCCCCAGTAGGGGGTGTGCAAGAGGCAGCTGATCGATGACTCTCTCTCATCGATGTTTCTAGCTCTCTATCTCTCTCCCTTCCTCTCTGTACAAAATCAATAAAATATATTTATTAAAAAATATATATATATTCCATTGATTTTTAGAGAAAGTGGAAGGGAAGGAGGAGACACAGAGAGAGAAACATCAATTGGTTGCCTCCCAGGTCGAGCCTGCAACCAAGGTGTGTGCCCTTGACCAGAATCAAACATGGCACCCTTCAGTCCGCAGGCCAGTGCTCTATCTACTGAGCCAAACTGGGTAGGGTTGCATGTACAGTTTAAATAAAGTTAATATTTCTGTGAGCCAGTTTAAGAAATAAGCTTCAGTGTCTTATCTGTATAATGGAATTTTATTATGGAGACTTTGATTTGATGTCACCGGGAACCTCTCTAACTCCTAGAATTGATGATGCCTTTGTTGTCAATTTCTTTGCCACATTCAAAAATACCTCTCTACGAGGTAGCTGATGGCCAGCAAGACCTTCCCTCAGCTCCTCACACACACATGCATCCTGTCTGCCAGCACTTGGTACCAGTCAGCCACGAAGTTTGCCCATCTGGCTAGGGCCAGCCTGCTGGCTCGTGAGGGACTGCTTTGCTGCAGTGGGTGAGAAACAGACCCCGCTACACCCTCCCCTGTCCCTGATGGAAACTGCAGGGTTTCTAGTTTCCACACAGAGTGCTTTCCTTCTGACTGGCTCAGTGAGGTCATCCATTGAGCTCCTACCTATTCTTTGTGAGACACTGAGGAGGGAGGGGCAAAAGCTGCAGTCTTTGTGATGAAACATGAAGCTGTGTGGGACAGACTAGTATTGGAGAAGGTCAAAGAAAGAAGGAACACCTCGGCGTCCGCGCATCTTTCCCCGAGGAGACCAGCATGTCTAGGAGAGCTGGGGAGTTCGGGGCAGGTGCGGGGTAGTAGTCCAGGCTCGGCGAGCCCACAAAGGCCATGTAGCAGAGGGCATGGGGCACACTGAAGGGGGGTGCCGAGAGGGAGGAACAGACGGGTGAATGGATTGGCTCAGAAATAGAACTTAAGAACGTAAAGCTGAATTTAGAAGGCTGGACTTAGTGCCACAAAGCAGCGGGCATGCTGCATATACTATATGCCCAACCTGTACTAAGAGCCTCTCATGGGGAGGCTCTGGGTTCAAATCCCAACTTTGCTCATAAGCCATGTGACTTCAGACAAGTTACTGATCTCTAAGCCTTCATTTACACCTCTTATCAGCTGGGGGTAATTGTTTCAGGTGCCTAAGGAGAAATGCTTTGGAGAAATGATGATAATAAGAGGTACTAGTCTCTGAACACTTTCTGTATGTTCATATAGCTCTGTGCTAAGCACGATATGCATAATCACTCAATCTTCACAAAACCCCTGTGGATTCTGTGCAGTATTCCCCTTTTTTTATTAGTAGGAAATAGATCAGTCACCTCCCAATAAGTACTTAAAAAGTATGAAATAGTCCTGTAGGAGAGTGGATGAGGAGGTAATGGATCAACAGGTAGTGTGTGGTTGCTGGGGGGGTGGTACTAAGGGCCATCGGAGGTAGTCGTCATTAACTTGGAGACACTGGTCAGCACTATTGCACTTTTGTCCAGCCAACATCACTTAACCTTGAGAAGAGGCCTTAAGGACTCCATTTGTTCATGTGCCGGTACAGGCACAGAGCAGGTGGGGAGTTGGATTTAACCAGGGTTCGTTTAGCTGAAACGATTAGATGAAATCAGTGGGAGAAAAGGAGACAGTCAAGTACACGAAAGAAGTGATCAGAATGATGGCTCCTGGAATCCCAGCTGGACAAGGGAGGTAACAGCGATGAAAGAGTTGTAAGGTAAAGAATTATAGGTTCCATTTAGAATCCACATGATCAGGAAAGTGAGTGGTGGGTGAAAGGGAATGGACAAAATGAGATTTGGGGGAAGATGCAGCGAAAGCTCCTAACCGCTCCGTGTTACTGTCCGTGTGCCCTCAGGGACTCAGGGAAGGAGAGGCTGGGATTTGATGCAGAAGACCCACCTGATGTAGTTGCAGTCAGTGAGGGGAAGCCAGGGTCTTGGATGAGGGTCGGACAGTGGGAACAGAGTAGAGGGAGTAAATCTTAAAAGGGAAGACTGGAGACTTAGAGACACAGTGACTCCTTTCCTGATTGTGTTACTTCCTAAAATGGCACGAGGGAGGGTAGTCTCGGGCGCAGCAGTCTTTCCTGGGGTCCGGTGCAGTGCCCATCTTTGCAGATTTGCTTCCTACCTGAGGTTAGTGATGAAAAACGCCATCGTGAAGTCTAAGATGATGGTTGCATAGATGAGTTTTCTGCCACAGGCTCAGTATAATGGAGATCTTACTCTCCTTGTGTGACAGAACCGATGGTGGGACAAGGCAGGTGGCAGAGCCCCAGTTCACGTCTCTGCCACTCACAGCCTTCATTTTCTCATCTCTGAACCAGGACTGTGAATACCTACCTTGGAGGGCGGGTGTGAAGTGCTCCAAAAAGTTTAGCTGGTACTCTGTTTTCTAAAGGGTCTGCCCTAGCATGTAAGCCTGCAGAAGAGTTTCCAGTCCCTAAAGGACAGCTGAGGCTAGAGAAAGCTGTCATGGCCATGGCCACAGCTCTGAGGTGACAAATCAGACAGGACTCTGGCTTCCATCTCACAGGGAGCCTGCTCTGTCAGAGGGCCAGGTGGGTCCCACCAGTGTTCTGGAAGCACAGGGACACTTAGTGTGGGTCAGGGGAGCTGGGTCTTGTGGCAGGCACATCTGTCCCTGACCAGCTGTGGGGCCAACGTGCAGCATCACTTAACTCTGAGAAGAGGCCTTAAAGACTCCATTTGTTAAATATCCAATGTGCACATATGTACGGGCACCTTCCACTGATATTTATAATATTAACACTGTCTGGTATCAAATGGAAGGCTCAAGTCCACACAGAATCACCCAGGTTCCTGCAGAATCCTGGACGAGGGTAGGACAGTGGGAGCAGAGTAGAGGGAGTAAATCTTAAAAGGAAGATTGCTGAGTGAATGAGGGGGGTGGGGGAGCAAGAGTCTGCATTCTAATAAGCTCCTCCAGTGGTTCTTTGCAAAGAGGGTAGTTTATTTATAAAGTAAGAATGAAGCTCTTTGATTTATTGCCCAAGACTACAATAAATCAAAGAGTCGGGATTCCACCCAGACTGACTTGGTTCCATAGACTATGCTCTTGCCACACTGCTTATAGTTAGCCAGGTGGCTAGGAAGAGAGAACAGGTGAGGCCCCTTATAAGGAATGGGGGGCTGGGCTGAGGGAGGGTCTGAGACCCCAAGCACTTGGTGAGGAGCAAGTTAGAAAAGAAATAAGGAGAGCCGGGACCGGTTTGGCTCAATGGATAGAGCGTCGGCTTGGGGACTGAAAGGTCCCGGGTTCGATTCCGGTCAAGGGCATGTACCCTGGTTGCGGGCATATCCCCAGTAGGGGGTGTGCAAGATGCAGCTGATTGATGACTCTCTCATCGATGTTTCTGACTATCTCTCTCCCTTCCTCTCTGTACAAAATCAATAAAATATATTAAAAAAAAAAAAAAAAAAGAAATAAGGAGATATTATGAGTCATGCTGTTGGAATCAGGGGCCTACATTTTTTAAAGGTCCTTTAAAAAAAAAATTACAAAGTAATACATGTTTCTTTTAGGAAAAAAAACCGCACCAAGAAAAATTACCCCATGACCTCATCATCTAGGGATAACTATTGTTAGTATTTTTGTGGATATCTTACTGATCTTTTCTGCATACATCTGTGAGCATATTTCTAAAATGGAACTTACTGCATATACTTGTTTTTACACGAACTATATTGTAGTTTTCTTCTTAGTAATAACTTTCTTTTTTAATATATTTTGTTGATTTTTTTACAGAGAAGAAAAGAGAGAGGTAGAGAGTTAGAAACATCGATGAGAGAGTATCATTGATCAGCTGCCTTTTGCACACCCACTACTGGGGATGTGCCCACAACCGAGGTATAATACATGCCCTTAACCGGAATCGAACCTGGGACCTTTCAGTCCGCAGGCCGATGCTCTATCCACTGAGTCAAACCATTTTCGGCGTTAGTAATAACTTTCAATGTACATCTTTAAAATATTTGCTTGTAAGAAGTCATAACCAAATATGAATTTTTAGAGCAGTGGTTGTCAAACTTTAGCAGGCATCAGAATCACCTAGAACAGGGATGGATAAACTTGTTCTGAATAGAAAACCGTATGGGTCTAGGTCACAAGTATATTAGGCTTTGGGGGACATACAGTCTCTGTCTAAACTACTGGCTGTGCTGCTGTAGCCTCAGCACCCATAGGCCATGTGTGCTCAACATTTTATTCAAAACAACAGAGGCTGGATTTGGTCCATGGGCCATGGCTTACCAACCCCTGGTTTAGAGAGAGGGTCCATAAATATTTATTGAAAACGAGCTATGTGTTCTGGTCACTTGGAGTATATTGGGAAATAAGATCAATACCCTGCCTGCTCTTGAGGAGCTCTCATTTTAACTCCTATATTATTAGGCAATAAAGATATTAAATCTGATGGTATATGCTAGAAAGTGACAAAACAATGGAAAAAAGAACAACTTGGGCAGAGGGGAATAAGTTGCAATTTAAAAGGATGTTAGAGCCCCAAACCGGTTTGGCTCAGTGGATAGAGCGTTGGCCTACGGACTGAAAGGTCCCTGGTTTGATTCTGGTCAAGGGCGTGTACCTTGGTTGCGGGCACATCCCTGGGTGGGGGTGTGCAGGAGGCAGCTGATCGATGATTCTCTCTCATCAATGTTTCTGACTCTCTATCCCTCTCTCTTCCTCTCTGTAAAAAATCAAAATATATTAAAAAAATAAAATAAAAATAAAAGGATGTTAGAAAATAAAAGGATGATTAGGGTAGGCCATACTTAGATGGTGAGTTTGAATGAAGGTGTACAGGAAGTTAGGAAGTTGGCTTGTGGATGTAGGAGAATTCCAGGTATAGGGAACAGCCCATGCAAAGGCCCTGCAGTGGGAATGTGCCTGCTGTTTTAGATGTAGCAAGAAGAGTGTAGGCAGAACGGAGGAAGTAAAGAGGAAGAGGTTCATTGTTTATTCTGGGAGATTTTGTGGCTCCCAGGGAACCTTGGAACCAAAGTGCTCAGTAACTTGCTTTTCCTCATTTAATAGTATAGTTTTGTGGTTTTTAAAAAATATATATATTTTATTGATTTTTTTCAGAGAGGAGGAGAAAGGGATAGAGAGCTAGAAACATCGATGAGAGAGAAACATCAACCAGTTGCCTCTTGCACACCCCCTACCAGGGATGTGCCCACAACCAATGTACATGCCCTTGACCGGAATCAAACCTGGAACCTTTCAGTCTGCAGACTGACGCTCTACCACTGAGCCAAACCGGTTTCGGCAATAGTATAGTTTAATACTATTTGTCATGTATATGTTCTGCAGTCTAACCTTTAAAAGCTACATAATGTTCCATCACATCACTGCACTATTTACATTTGTAATTCTCTTGTCAGTGGATTTTCAGGTGGTTTTTTAAGTTTTTCATCACTGTAGTAGCACTACCGTGAACATTCTTTTGGCTACATTTTTTCACTGAATCTAGGATCTTTCCTTAGATTCCTAAAAGTGGGAAGTGGCTAGAACAGCAGCAGAAGGCAAAGACCTTTGTTGTGTTTTTGTCAGGTCCTTTTAAAGAATGCCATTATCTCCAGCTCTGACCTCTTCACGTACCACTCTGACTCCGACACTGTGCATTTTGGCTCTAGGCTCAAGCACAGACATCAGCGAGGACTGGGAGAAGGACTTTGACTTGGACATGACCGAAGAAGAAGTGCAGATGGCACTTTCCAAAGTGGATGCCTCTGGTGAGGTGAGTGGACCCGTTGGCCACAGGGAAGCAAGCCCAGCGACCCCAGGGTCTGAGGCCTCTCCCGCTCCAGCCCAACTGTTCCCTCAGGGAGGATGGTCCCTGAGCCTCTCTGAGGGGGCAGGCTGCAGAGAGGGAGCTGGGGCCTCCCACTCGGGCCCTGAGCAGTTGTCACTGGATGGAAGAAAGGGAGAGTTCCTGGCATTACTCTGTGTCAGAATCACCAAGGAACCATTAAAAAATAGAGATGCCAAACCCTGCTCCAGATCTCCTGACTCATGGTCCCCCAGGTTGGGACCTGAGCAGATTTCTAGTCTTGGAGACAAAAGACAGTGTGATCTAGGGCTGATCACTTAGCCTGAAACATGCAATTGATCATGATAAGCTTGTCAGCTGTGACAGACAATGATCCACACAGTGGGACTTGGGAGCACTAGTATATGTTACCAAAACCACCACAAGACCCAGTCCAGCTATGAGCTCTCCCTTCACTACCTCTCAACATAAAAAAAACGGCTCGTTTTGAAGGAGAGCCTAGGGATAAGCCTCTCATAGCTAGTAAACAACAGGCATATGATTCAAGTCAGTGTCACTTCATCGTCCACCATGTAACTCGTGCACCTGCCAAAGAGGTAAACAGATTAGAGGCCCGGGGAGAGCCTTGTTTTTCACATTGGAAAACGGGCCTGAGAGGAGGCAGTGACCCATGCGAGAGCCTCTTGTACCTGTGCTTCATGATGCCCAAGGCAGAAAGGCCCTGCTGTCCTGTCATGGCCGTTGTGTCTTTGCAGCCTTCTTTTAAAGCCTGACATCCACTCTTCCTGAGAAGTTATTTTGTAACTCGCCATAGCGGGGATCGGCAGGCAGCAGGCCAGGAGAAAGTTGCTAGGAAGATTTTAGCTAAGGACTGGGGTGCCTGAGCCCCTAGTGAGGCCCTGTAAGCACCTGTAGTTCAGGGCCACGCTTGCTTCTAGTTGAGTGCCACCCTCAAGCTCTCTGCCTCTCTGAGCCATCTTCATAGCTGCTCAACAGGAGACAAGTTTTCGTTAAGGAATTGCTGACTTCGTTCCTGTGGGCAGGCTGTCCCCTTGTAGGACAAGTGTTGGTTGGTGGAAACATTTCCTTTGGGTCTGGAATGATCAGAGAAGCAGACTCACCGCTTAGATAGAGGGCAGCTCTGCTCGCAGACACATTCCTTAAGACTGCGGTTCACTCTCATGGGCAGCTGAGGGCTTGGGGCTATCTGGAAATGGAGGCAGTAAGGGGAGCTCTGGGTCTGGGTGTGACTTAGAGGAATAAATTGGTATTTGTGCTCTCCATTGTCCTCTCCCGTTTGCAGCTGGAAGATGTAGAGTGGGAGGACTGGGAATGAGGGGAGCCAGAACAAGCGGCTCCCCCTCCCACAGCACCTCCCATTTCCCTCGATCGTCTCAGCCCAGCCCTGGAAGACACTGACCAAGAATGTCCCCCAAATGGCCTCTCAACCAGAGCTCTAGGCACAGATTCTGGGTTGCTTCTTGCTGGCCCTGTGGGCCCCTGCTCACATCTGGGAAGGGGCTCACAAACCAAGAACTCTGACTTGTGCCAACCATAGGATGACCTAAGGGGAGGAAACCTATCCCCTCACCGGAAGAGCCTACATTTTTATGCTGAATTCCCTGTTCCTGGGGACTCTTGCTGGGAAGTCCCAAGGGATAGCTCCATCCCTTCTGCCTCTGTGGACAGGAGCTGAACCACCAGTCTCTTGGAAGAAGCCAAGTCAACACACTGTCCACCCATAAGCAGGCAAGGAAGGACATGCCACCTGCCATTGGCTAGATAGGGATGGCAACCTGTTTGGTTCTTATTCCAGTGGGTAAGAGACATTTGATTCTGGGAAATTAGCCTCTCTTGGGAATCTCCTCTTCCCAGGCATTTTCCATTCCCAGAAAGGTTCCTTGTGGTTCAGAATCTAGAGACCAAACCCATCTCCTTTCATCCAGCCCAGCTGGTATGTCCCCCACACTTTCCCCAGGGCTTCTTCATGTCAGATGCACCCAAGTCCTTAGCCCCGCTGTGCCACCTGCAAGACTCTGCTCTTGCTTTTCTTCCCCTCCCCATGAAGGGAGGGGCTCCTTCAGGCCCTTCTGTACGATGCCTGGGGGTACTTTGTCCAGCCAGCTACCCACCTCAATTCACCTGGATCTTAGGACACAAGCCAGCTCACAGTGGCACAGAGCAGTGATCAAAGCTGAGTACTTACAACTCTGGTAAGCCCAATTTCTCTGCCTCAGCCCTCTGCCTCTAGAAGGGATGTGCTGGGGTGAATTCTTGAGACTCATCAGGCTTCTGAAAAAGCTCTTCTTGAAGGCAGACCCGTCTTTGTCTCTCTCACCCTCCACTCTGCTAACGCGGCCCTCTAGGGGAATGCGGGCTGCGGGGATCCCTGGAGGTCTTGGCGCTGACAGGGCTGCTCTGGTATTCCAGTGCAGAGTCTGGTGTTCACCAGTGATTTAATGGGAGCGTGGCTGGGATCCCGAGGAGTGAGGGGGTGGGGTGGAGAGTATGCTGAATCTTTGTGATGGGATGGGGTTTTTCTCTTTGTAATTATTTCTTTAGTTTAATTAATCTTTTGGTTGTTTGTGCAATATTATATATTTTAAATTATAATGCATCTCTCCAGAGTATTTTGTAGCTGGGAAAAGAGAAAAAAAGGAGAAAAAAAAAAAAAGATTCTAACAGCTGTTAGTTTTCTAATTAAAAAAGAAAGAAAAAAGAACTTTGTTCTGACCTTTTCCAGACTGTTGTTAACAGCATTAAAGAATTCAACAGAAGCTGGAAGATGTCTGGGGGTCTGTTCTTGTCCCCCATGGCAGCTGGGGCAGGACATTCACAATGTGCAGAGTGGCTTCCTGCTTAGAATCTGGTGGGGGCGGGGGGAGGGAGGAAGGGGGTGGGGGCCTGGGTTCTGAGGATGTCCCTGTCCTCATCTCAGACTCCGCTTGGCCTTTGGAATGAGAAGGGGCAGGACTTCCAACAGGCTTCTCACCAAGACTAGAAGTCAAGAGGCCAATTCTGCATCCCCAGTGCTTCTGCTTTTATTTGGAAAGGAAGTTGCAACAACAGTGGCTCCAATTGCTCTTGGTTATTGTTCTCCTCCTCCCCTTCCCCCCGTATATGTATGATTCTGGGGTCTAATTTAATTAACTTTAGTTAAATGCCCGTATGAAAATCACTTGTCAGTCATAATAAAAGGGAAGTCTGAATGAGGCCCTCTGGTTCCTTGAAGATCTTTCAAGGGAAAGAAAAGTAAGGCGGGGAGGGTGTAGGTAAGTTTTAGGATGAGTAAACTTAACGTGTGAACTATATACCACCAGTTCAGAAGCGGGTTTTGGGTTTGCTTTCTCCCCTGCTTTATTGGGGAGGACTTGCCATTGCTTTTATGAAGTGCTTGCTAGCCATGGATGCCAACTAACTTCTTCGATTGAAGGCCGGAGGATCATGTCTGGTTCCAGGAGCTGCTTGAGCAAGTCCTGGCACTCGGCCGAGATGCCCAGGTGAGTGGGGAAGGACACCCCCTTCTGCTGCTGCCACAGCATCTTGGGAATGTCTGTGTCGTCGAAAGGTAGGCTGGCGCAGAGCATGACGTAGAGGACGACGCCCAGGCTCCAGACATCGCCCTTCTTGCTGTCGTGCGGGATGCCCTGCAGCACCTCGGGGGCGGCGTAGGCTGTGCTGCCGCAGAAGGTCTGGCTCAGCTCCCGGCGCGACTTGGGCAGCACCTTGGCGAAGCCAAAGTCCGTCAGCTTCAGGTTGCAGCCCTGCAGCAAGGCGTTCTCACACTTGAGGTCCCGGTGGGCCACGCCACAGCCGTGGCAGTAGCGGATGGCCTCGACCATCTGGCAGAAGAGGGCCTTGGTGCGGCTCTCGGGCAGAGGCCCCCCGTTCAGCACGCAGTCAAATACATCCCCTCCCTCGGCCAGCTCCATCACCAGGTAGATTTTACCGTCGGCAGACTCCAGCATCTCGTACACCTGGATGATGTTCTTGTGGTCCAGGGTGCGGACGATCTGGAGCTCCCGAGGCAGGAATCTCTGGATAAATTCTGAGGAGACACGGGGAAAGGATGGTATCAGTCCAGAAGAGCCTAACTCCTGCCCTCCAACGTGTCTTCTGGTCACATTGTCAGGTTCCCTTTAACAGTTTGAAACATCTAGATGCTTGGGCTGTACAAAGAATATCTTATTTTTGTAGTTAATACGTTATTCAAAGGCGCTACATGCCAACCTCAAGGACTGTGGTGAGCACCCTGTGAGACTGTGGACATCCCAGTGCTTGGGGATTGTCAGAGCCACTGACACTCACTCTGAGGCCTGGTTTGCTCACAATGTGGTGACCCAGCTCCTCTCACCCCTGCCTCCTGACCCAGTTCTTCCCATGAGCCAGTCTCTCTCCCATCCCCACCACCTCCACACCAGCCCCTGCCCTCTGGTGGCCCTGATCATGCCTCCGCTGGTCTCTGTTCCCCTGATGGGCTTGGCTTCTGCCTCTGAGGACCCTTCACCTCCTGCCATTTTAATCATAGATTTTGGAAGGTGTGATGTTCCTGGATTCCCAACATCCCTCTGTTCCCCACGGACCTACGCCAGAGCCACAATCACTCTTGCTTTCCCTTGGCCTTAGTCTAAAGGGGAAGAGGAGTGATCCTTCTGACTGGAGGAGGCCCCCACCCAGGTCCGCCAGCCCTCCCTCCGGCCCAGCTCACCTTCTGGCCCTCCCATCTTGTCTATAATTTTAATTGCCACCTTTCTTTGGTGTTTTTTGGAAAATGCTTCCTTGACTTTTGAGTAGGTCCCTTCCCCAATGGTCTTGCCGAGCTGGTACCCATTGGAGAGCAGAAAGTCCTCCATGCTGTCTAGCGTCTCCTTCCTATCACCCTCTCAGCTCATGCTGCCTCTGTGAGGCAGCTCTACTCCACCATAGCCCTTGGCCCGGTCCTCTTCTCCCCAAGGACTTCATCCACGGCAGCCCCTATCGCTAGAACATTCAGCCGCAGATGGTGGGGAGGGAGAGGGCCAGACATTTTTAAACTCCAGCCCAATTGTGATGTAAATGATGTGTGACCCTGGGCCAAAATGGATAGCGCCCCTATCTGCCCTCACCAGACCCGGCACCGCTTAGGCACCGCTGCCCCCCAACCCCCAGCCCGGCGGGGGGCTGCGGCCCGGCCCGGAGGGGAGGCGCTCCCCGGGCCGGGCCGCCCGCGCCGCCGGAACGCCGGCTCCTTTTCCTGGACGCCACCCGGCGCTGTAGCCGCCGGCGCCCCCATCGGGCTGCGGGGGGCCGCGCCGCCCAGCCCCCAGGCGCCGTGGCCTGAACCCCGGCCTCCCGCGGGCGGCGGGCGGGTTCCCCGGCGGGAGAACGGGCTCTGTGAGGTCAGCGCGCCGGGCCCGGGTCACAATGCAGCCCTCCCCGCCGACGCCCGCGTCCGCCCGCGCCGCAGACACCTGCCCGGCCCCGCCTGGACCGGAGCGCCCCCCCGCGGCCCGGGCTCCGGCAGCTGCGTCCGGCCTGGGACTGGCCTCGGCCGCCAGCAGGTGAGGGGCGCCCGGGCGCGGCGCGGGGAGGGGGCGCCCGGGGCCCGCAGCGCCCTGACCGGCCCTCCCCGCGCAGAGCGACCCGGGGCCTGGACATGAGTGCCCAGGAGCCCCCTCAGGGTCGGAGATTCCCCATTGAGGCCGGAGACTCCCCTGGCCTTGCCGCCACCCCCGAGCCCCAGGACAACCCCGAGCCGGTAGCGACGGAGCACAGCCGGGTCAGGTGAGCGGCGGCCGCCCTCCCCTCCCCTCCCCCGCGGCCCCCCTGCGCCCCCGGCTCGTCCCAGTCCCCACCCCCAGCCCACCGCCCCACCTCGGAGACCGGTGCGCTCCGGCGAGGCCCACCGCGCCCCCTTCGCGCCGCCCGCAGGCCGCTTCGCCGCTGCCCGGGCTGCCACTGCCTGACGCTGCTGCACGTGCCCATCGACGTCTACCTGGCCATGGGCGGGAGCCCCCGGGCCCGCGCCACCTGAGCGCCCCGCACGTCGCGCGCGCCGAGCATGAGACAATGATGCACATTTTAAAATAAAGAATGATGCACATTTTAATAAAGCACAGCATAAACTGTTCTTTCCACTCCGGGCTGGCCGTGTATGTCTGTCCCGTCGGATCGGGCCGCGGACTTCTCTACTTCATCCCACGGCGCCTTCCCTTAGGCTGCCTCCTCCCCTGGATCCTCCCAGCCCCGGGGCGCCCCCTTCCCGTTACTGCCTCCTGGCGGGTGCCCACCCTTCCCCCTTTTCTTGCTAGTCATGCATGACCGCTTCTCAGGCAGCCTTTCCTCTCCGACCCTTTCCCCTTATCCTCTCCCCCTATCTCTCTCATGGCCTCCAGGGAAAGTTGTGTTACTGTGCTCCCGGCCCAGAGAAGCTCGGGATTGGAGGGGATGGGCGGACAATTGAATAAAGAGAATGACCACCCACATCGGGCTCATTCAATTCTCCCAAGATGCACTTAGGTTTTGCTCCCTGCTGTTTTGTAACCCTGGGCATCTCTGGTTTTGGTGAAAGAGTTAGGGGTTGCCTCTTCTATTTTGACTCTTGGTTTCTCCTAGAACCGATGGGACCAGAAAAAGTTTGGGAAATAGGTCCTTTGAAAACTGATTTCTTATTCTTATTTTACAGGTGAGGAAACTGAGCCTTGAGAGCCTTGCCTAGGGTCCCCCAACTGACAGGTGATGCTATCATATTCCTGTGTCCTCAAACTCAGTGCCCTAAAAGCCATTGAGGGCCCATGACAGGAAGTTGCCTGGAAGTGTAGTAATTGAGCTGAACAAGTATTTTCCACTTTCCAATTTTGCTTTAATGTACCTGTATTATTTTAATACTAGAGGCCCAGTGCACAGGGCGGGGGGGGGGGGTGTCCCTCAGCCCAACCTGCACCCTCTCTAGTCTGGGACCCCAAGGGATGTCCAACTGCTCTTTTAGGCCCAATCCCACCTAAATGGGCAGTCAGACATCCCCTCACAATCCAGGACTGCTGGCTCCCAACTGCTCACCTGCCTGCCTGACTGCCCCTAATTACCTCCGCCTGCCAGCCTGATCACCTCCTAACCACTCCCTTGCTGGCCTGGTCACCCCCAACTGCCCTCCCCTGCAGGCCTGGTCGCCCCCCACTGCCCTCCCATGCTGGCCTGATCGCCTACAACTGCCCTCCCCTGCCGGCCATCTTGTGGCAGCCATCTTGTATCCACATGGGGGTGGCCATCTTGTGTGTTGGAGTGATGGTCAATTTCCATAGTACCTTTTTTTTTTTTTTAGATTTTTAAAAATATATTTTATTGATTTTTTACAGAGAGGAAGAGAGAGAGAGAGTTAGAAACATCAGTAAGAGAGAATCATCGATCATCTGCCTCTTGCACACCCCCTACTGGGGATGTGCCCACAACCAAGGTACATGCCCTTGACTGGAATCGAACCCGGGATCTTTCAGTCCACAGGCCAATGCTCTATCCACTGAGCCATACTGGTTCTGGCTCCATAGTACCTCTTAATTATATAGGATTGGAAAAATATATGTAAGCCAAAGATCAGGTTCAGTCTCTTGTCTCCTGAGATCTAAGTACCATTGACTTAATTTCCCTCCCCTAATTGCATAGGAAAGAAGGCCAAGCTGTCCCAGAGCACTTCAGAATTCCAGGGTCATTGTAAGGTGACTTCTTGACTTCCACACAAATACTCTCCTAGGCAGTGCCAAATGTGGGAGGCTTATTGGAGAGGATGTTGGCCAAAAGGTTTACTTTGAAGTGAGGACTTTACTTGACCATTCAGCTCCTGGACCTTTAAGACGGTGGTCCGTGGGGTCCGAAAGGTTGGCGACCGCTGCTTTCAGACATCCTGGTACTTGAAAGCCCTCCACACCTATCTTTCCCTCCACCATAAGAACCCTGGCATCAGGCACGAGCTTTTCTCTCCGCCTTCACTGCTCCTCCTCCACCCGTACCTCCTGGAAAACCCCTCAGGGATTCTCAGTTCTGGTAAGTGGAATAATCCAGCTGTTTCTATCCCCACCAAACTTAGTGTCAGCCTCTGCAGCCTGACAACCCGTGCTGCTGCTTTGCAGAAAAAGGACCTCATTCCCTGTAAACGGTACTCACCTCCTCTGCAGGATGTTTTCATTTTAAGGGAGAAAACAATTATCAGGCTCTGTATTGATAGGGTGTCACCACTGAGAGCAACTGAAGTTAGTTTGAGCTAAAAGGAACTAGTTATTTAAGTATCTTGGAAGGATATAAGCTGTCCAAGTCCAAGGCTCCTCATTGCCATAGAATTTAGGAACCAGTGCATCTATCTGGCTATAACCAAGGATTCAATTCCACCAGGACTGCCCCATTGTTCCTCTCTCATCCCAGATTACCTCCTGGGCAGGCAGCACGTCCGCAAGCAGCTTAGAAATCCCAAGAAGGGAGAAATGTTTTCTCCCAGTCTCTGGATATCCACCCATAGAGGGACAGCAATTGGCCATTCTTAAATCACGTGTACACACCTTGGGCCAATTACCACTGCCAAGAAGATGGGAGACTGTCATTGACAGGCTGGGCCCAGGTAAGCCTTTCCTTGAGGTGCAGGCAAGCACAGCCAGGTGACGGACAGCATCACCAGAAAATAATGGGTAAAGATGGAGGGGAAAAAATAAGCCAGGAGCAGAGACAGGTTATGCAAAGATTGGAAGATTGGAATGCCTGGAGTAAAAGAGGCCAGAAAAGGAAGGGTAGAAAGTGGCAGGAGCCAGGTGACAACTCTGTTCTATGGCAGTGAGAGCCTTGGACGGTATGACCAGGTGTCAGGCCTCTGGGTTCTAGCTCAGGCTTGTCCCTGGCGCAGACAATACAGGTCCACCAGGCCAGTGCAGGGCACTGCAGACTCAGTGGTGAGCTTGACCAGCACGGGCCTTGGCCCTCATAGAACTCACATGGCCTAGCCTACCATCAATTACCAGGGTCCTCACTCAGACAAGGCCCTTCCTTCCCTCAGGGCCCCCTTCAAAAAAAAAAAAAAAAAAAAAAAAAGGCACTGGCTGATTTCTTTGGACTTTGCCAGCCCCATAATGCTGAATCCTTCCCATTTTTCTGTCTCTCATCTCTCTTACTTCCTTTGTCCCATCTTCTCAACCTTCCTTTCCTTAAAAAAAAATATATATATATAGCCGAAACCGGTTTGGCTCAGTGGTAGAGCATCAGTCTGCGGACTGAAAGATCCTGGGTTCGATTCCGGTCAAGGGCATGTACCTTGGTTGCAGGCACATCCCCAGTAGGGGGTGTGCAAGCTGATCGATGATTCTCTCTCATCGATGTTTCTAACTCTCTATTCCTCTCTCTTCCTCTCTGTAAAAAATCAATAAAATATATTTTTAAAATTTTTTTTTAAAAATTATATATATATATATCGTGTGTGTGTGTGTATCCTCCTCTCATGTGCTTGGATAGTGAGGGATGCAAAGATTCCAGACGCATTCGTTGCCAATGGGCCAGACCCTGGAGCTAGTTAGGTCTAGAATGTCCATGAGAAAGGGCATTCTGGAAGGAATGCTGTGGACAAAGGCAGGAGGCAGGAAAGTGCAGGGCAAGTTAAGGAATTCAGTTCAATCGACTTTCACCAATACCTACCGGGCCACACCCTGTGCTGAGCGCCCAGGCCTGAATCTGACCAGGTGCCCTCACAGAGCTCAGAATTCAGGGGACCCAGGAGCGAATTCACAGAAGAGAAGCTGGACTGAGACACTGAGTTTGAACTTTGTTCTGCAGATGACGGAGCACAACAGGCTCCAATCTGGATCACGTCTCTCTTCTACTTCTCATCTTCTCCATTCTGTCC